CTGATGACCCATATAAATATGCGGTCACGACATCCATTAACTGCATATCTAAATTCATAGTTACTGCCAGAGATATCAAATAGCGGAACGTTATTCCATCCATTACAGGAGAATATGTTTGATCAAAATCAATTCCGGGTCTCTGCGAAAACCCTTGAGCAACTAATCTCGCTTTGTATCTCACCACATCATTATTTTCATTTCCCTTTCGCACGAACACCCATTTATTTCCTACAGGGATAACATTTTGAGGTGTACGCGCAATAGAGCCAAAAACTTTTCGTTTATTTAGCGAGTCTAGTTCAGCCTCAATTGCCTCTTTCCATCTTACCCAATCGGAGCGCTTCCGGCACTCTGCAATTGATTTAGGTTCTGGATCCAGATTATTAGAGATGGTAAAAGCAACTATAGAGGCAAATGTGTCGTCGACGACTATGTTACTTCTATTATAAGTTTCTCCTGTATCAACAAAATTCGTAGCTACTTCAATATTTATATTAATCAGATCTTCATCATTTCTCAATATATTTTGATCTGGATGTTCCGCAATCCTAGTATTTTCATTATTTGTTGCACGTGCATTTAAACTAAGATTTTCGCCTTCTGGACGATTCTCTTCTGGAGATTTCGGGAGTGATTCAATATTCTTATTAGATTTCAATTTCTGCGGATTATTGTCTTTTGTACCAACGGGTCTACCACGCTTCTGGCGTGGAGCATCTGCAGGATTATTAGATTTTATGGGGACTTCCACTCATTGTGGAGCATTTATTGAAGATACATGAGATTTGATCACTCCTTTATGATCAGTAAATGCATCTGGCAGATTATTTGCTAAATATTGCAAATTAATTATATTTTGAACTTCAAGTTCAGTTTGATTAGTGCGTGGATCTAAATATTGTAGATTTTCTACATTCCAAGATATTTCTCGGCATTTATTTAAGTTTGGGCTTTTATCTCCCCCTAATGCCGGAAAATTCTCTTCATCGAATATGCAGTCAGCGTACCTAGCTGTAAATTGATCCCCGGTCATGGGCTCTAGGTATTTGAGAATAGACGGAGATTCGTAGCCAATATATATACC